TATTTAACAACTATGCGTACGGTTAACGACTGGAAGGAAATTAATTGTCTAGTTTTAATTTGACAATTTAAGATGCTATAACATGATTCTAAATTAAGTTTTAGATGCACGGTGGAGTCTTTTAATTAACAAATTAGACTTGTGGCATAGTGCATGGCTCTGTGCTAAAAGATAAAACAAAATACAAGTATACAACTTAGTACGCTGTTACCGGATGGAAAGAACTAAATTGCTTAAATTAATTTAGCAATTTATTGGACTATAGTATGATTATAGAATTTATTTTGAATGCATGAATGAGTCATTGATATAATAGATTTGATCCATGCATGCTTTGGATTCTAGTTGTGGAACTATTAAAATGTTTCCTGCAATTATAAAGTTAACTCTTGGATTTAAATTGCTGAAACTTTAAACACTTTTCTGCAATGATTTGGATATTGGTTTTGGATTGTAAATTACTAGCTTATTATTTATGTATCGTAATTTACATGGATATGGAGGATTGTATGCACCGGTATGGGACGGTGACATACTAGGGATGGTTTAACTCAAAACGCTTAAACCTAACCTATCGGATTAAAGGATTGGATTGAAAAATATTGAATCCAAATTGTGACTAAGGCAGATCAACTACGACTAAGTTGAATGGCTTCCTGGATTAATGGATGGTGATTAAGTCATATCAACAGAATAAGTTGAGTGACTCACTAGTATGTTTTGTATGTCTCCTCAATAAATAATTGAATGACATATTATAGTTTTGGACGGATTTTAGATATATGATTATGGTACCACGATATGAGCTTGAGTCTCAGAGTCGTTGGTTAGGGTGCGTATATGCAGTGGATGCGTAGTTGGATATAGTAGGTAGGTGTACCCTGTTAGGTCTAGGTACTCATGCCCACCCTTGGGTGCGTTTTCGCATGTTGCATTCTATTCAGGTTGAGACCCCTACTATAGTCCAGTGAATGTCCCTTAGTGTGGATATATATATATGTATGGACTAGATAGATATTGTGAGGTATCTACGGTGTATTTACGTATCGGGTCACTGTATGGATTGCAATTAGTTTAAAACTTACTCGTGGGCTTGACCCACTCTTCTATTATTCTTTTCAGGTACAGGACGGTTCCAGCCTTAGAGCTTGATTGTGCTGGTCGAGGACAGTCTCATATTCATCTATTTACGTAGGACTTCTCTCGATAATTCTAGCTTAATTTATTTTCAGTTTTCAGTTCAGTTAAGTTTTTCTTTAGGGGTCCACTAGTTGGATTCCCGAGTTGTAATCATGGAGGTTTTGACAGTTGGATTTTATTAAGTTTTATCAGTTGATGATTTTATATTAGTATTCTTTTCAACTTTTATTATTTGTTCTTAATTTATTTTGTCATCTATGTTCGTTATAAAATATTAATTGTTTGATATTCCCCCGGGTTTGGGCCTGGGCCTGATCAACCCACGTCTCGGATCCAAGGGGTATCATACTCTGCATGATAGTTGTTACAGAGAGGGGGAGAGAGAGAGGGCGACGAAAGTCATCATATGGTTAGGGCTGAGCTGATCGCTATTTTACAGAGAGGGGGGGGGGGGGGGGGGAGAGAGAGAGAGAGGTTTGCACGAATAGGAATATGAAAGAGCATTATATGGCATTGGGAAGGGACTATGATTCATCAGCAATAACTTCCTTTCATTCATTTATTTAACTTTCTTATTTTATCCAAGTAACTTGTTTGTATTTGTTTTTGGATAACTCTCTCTTTTGTAACTTTGTCAGTCGTCAGTAAGTATTTTTATGAAATAATTTTTTTTTTCTTTCAATAAAATAGGATAGGTGTATCTTTTTTTTTATATATAATCCACCAACTATTAACATGGATAGACGTAAATACTAAATAATAACGAAAAAAATAAAATATCTAATGTGGAGGTTGAAAAATAAAAGAAAAAAATAGTAATATTTAATTGAGCCTCTGCTCTCTAATTATGTCTGATCCAATTTCTAATTGCCTTATTTTATTATAATTTTTTTTATCATTAATTGTACAATTAAATTTTAATTGATATAAGGGTAGTTTTGATAAGTAGAATCACTTTTTTTTCACTTTCATCATACCTAAATTAACAAAATCATATTTTCTCATAACTTTCTTTAAAAACTTTCATACTAACCAAATGCATGCGGAAACTTTTTTTATTTATTTTTTATTTATTTTTTTTCACTTTCTATCATAAATTTATATCTAACCAAACGGACCCATAACAAATATGGGTCTATGGATAGATTTGGATTTGCTTTTGTTTGTGGCTTGAGACTTAATGTTATCATTGGGCTTGGGCTTGTATCTTTCATGTGAAGGTTTTCATTGTTTTGTTTGGGCCACTATTGTGGACAAGCTTTTGTTTTTTCTTTACTTTTTGCCCATTTGCTTCCATGTTGGGCCATGGAGTATGCCCCATACTTTCCTATTATTTGGTACTTTTTTTATACCATACCACTTAATTACCGATATATATATAGTATATATATATTATAGCTTTGCTAAAAAAAGTACTATCGATATTTGAAAAGAAAAGTACCCAATGATCGATCTCTTATTTGGCCTTATCCTGATGTCTTACTGTCAAAGAAAAAATAGAAACCAATGCAAATCAAAACTTATCTATCTTTGCAGATTAAGGAAGGAGCTAAGAGGCTGCCCTGAAATCAATAAAGTTAAAACCTTTTAAAGTCTTCAATTTGACACTTCAATTTTATTTTATTTTTTTCAATATTCAAGAACTACTGTCTGTTATAAAATAACAGTGCACAACAAACTCAAATGTAATATCAATGTAATTGTTTCATATGACTGCAAACATGATTCTACAATAACGAGTTTAGAATAATGAAGGCATATTAGTAAAACGAATATAAAAATCTTGTTTTCCTTCCTTCTGACCAAACAAAAAAATGTACCACCCCATCCATTATTTTTACTATTCATTCCTTTCAACCAAACAAAAAGTGAGAGACACATTCTCTTCCTTAATGATGCCTCATACATCCCTTCCATCTAAACAAAGTTTTCAACAAGGAGAGTTTATGCAATATTATTATTTTACCCTTATAAGCTTCATATTCTAATTGAAGAAAATAATTTCACAACAGCAAAACTGGTATTTTAGGATTTCAACTTACTGATGTCAATAAAAAAAATAATACTAGCTGACAATGTTCGACATTCATGATGTATTACAATTTACAAAACTGCCTGGAACATGAGATTTAAAATGGTTTGATCGTACCATTTTTGTAAAGACTGACTGAGTTAAACAAGTTGAATTTGGCTTTGACCAATACTATCTTCCTTCAAAGCAAGTGGTGGACATATTTAAGGATGTTAAATTTTAAAGAATAAAATTTTTTTCCGGCCTCCACCACATGACCCCACTCACAACATATCCCTTATTCAATATCATTCAAATCCGAAAAATGTTTAAAGTCAAATATATATATATATATATCTGTATCGTTATTTGACGACTCATTCTTATATTCACCAACCTTCCAGTGCAACGCGGAGTTGGGGTGAATGAGGCAACTAGTGAACAATGAACATATTCGTAATGCCTAAGCAAGTGGTGAAGACGTGGGCCTTAAAAGGAAGACAATAACAAACAAAGTGCCCTTTTTTTCACACACACACATTGCTTGCTTCTCACAGAGAGATTAAAAGTCCACTACCAAACAACACTATCAAAATATATTACGAGTAGCAGCAACGTCTTGACGGCCTATCACGAGCCTCCACTTGTTGGTGAAGAACAAAAGTAAAAAATAAAATAAAATAAAAATGAGAGAGAATATACATTAAGGAAAATATCCAAAAATATCTTGACTTGGCACTACTCCTTGACGGAGACACATGATATTCTTCCGCTCATGGATAAGTTCAATCACTGATGTGATGAATGGTCTAATGGTTTAGAGTCTCAGGGTATAATATTTTCGAGATATTGTAGAATTTTTCGAAATAAAAGAAGAGACCATCTACTTAAAGTAATGACTTATAAATTGTAACTTTTTCATTGAATATTTCATAAATAAAAAAAAAAAAAAAATAGGATACATTTTGTTTATTATCACTTTAGAAAAAAAAAAAAAATCAATAAAGTTTATTCAGATTTCAAAGAAGTAGATCTATATTTAGTCTTATATATCTCTTTCAAAACAAACCATTAAGCATAAAGTGCCGTTTGTGTAGGACCCAAAAAAGAACGTTTTATTTTTGTAACACTTCTAGTAAGTTAATCATGTTCTTCGCAAACCTGCCAATACATAAATTCATTTATCACCCCCTTTAAAGCCTTTTTGTTATTGAATTTTAACTTCAAATTCAAAATTTTAATTGTTAGTTGTTTAAAGCCTTTTTGTTATTGAATTTTAATTTCAAATTCAAAATTTTAATTGTTAGTTAGAAAAATAACGATCTCTTGTAACTAACTTCCTTAACTGATTCCTTCCTCATCAAAATCGATCCCGAAGAATTTTGCCATTAATAAATGAACTAAGCTGAACTTGAGCTTCTCAAAATAATAAGTCAAGGTCAAACTCAATTTTTTAAATTTATCACAATTTCAAATCGATCATAAACTGAACCCACACGTAAACGAGTTGAGCCCAAACAAATTTAACCTCAGCTGGGTTCATTTGAGACCTATATTTGCAAAACACCTAGGGCAGAATAGCTAAACATCAAGAGAACCTGTCATGTGGAAACAATGGAACATCATTGACGAAATTACCTTTCCTTTCCTTCCTTCCTCTATTTCTATTTACTTTGCGTTTTTGTCCTTTTTCTCCTGTACACAGCTGTACCGACTACTAAAAACATAAAAGTTTGACTAATTGTGACTGGAAAATACGTAAGTCTTTATACATAAACAGTGAGGGCAATAATGTCAGCACGAAAGAACTGTGTGGTGTTCATCATTTATTGCTCTTATTTTGCATTACCTGAAAAATCTTTCCTTTTCTGTATCACTCTGTATCATAAGTAGAAGTAACAGCAATAGTATTGAACTATTGGGTTTTCATTTCAAACAATTTATTTATTGGATTTTTGATCTTTTTGATCTTTCTCTCTCTCCACTAGTTCAGCTGTAAGCTTATCTCCAAGATTTGTTACCTGAGAGAGACAAAAATTCTCTCACTTTCTCTCTCTCTATATACATATATATGTACACCGCTCAGCCTCTCTGTTACTGGTGTTCTTTAATGCGATATTTTTGGGTCTCTGAGATCATGCAAGGCACTTCTCTGAGCTGCATTTCTCTCTGTTTATTTTGATTAGATTCACTCATATTTTTGAAATGCAGACCGATATCGATTCAACCCCTTAGGGTTTTGGGGCTGTATTCACCACTGTGATCAAAACTGAGTGAAGAAGGAAGATTATTTAATTTTCGAAAATTCGTGGTGTTCTGGGCGAATTGTGGTGGTGTTGGGTGATTTGGTTTCGCATTTGGTTTGAATAAATATTAGAGTTTCTTTGGAGTTTTAAGCCACTCATTGCTTGCTGGGCCTCGGGCAGAGAGGAACACATTTCGCCATTGTTGAACTATCAGCTCAAGTTTAAGGTTTTCTGGGTTACAATTGGACCAGGTAATAATCTTGTTTTGCACCTGAATTGTATTGATTCTACATTGATTTACTCCACCATAGAATTAGAACCATTATTGTTTGGAAAAGATTCTGAATTTTTGCATATTTCAATCAGTTTTTTTGGTTCTCTATTGGGGATACTGATTGAATAATTAGGGTTTTCTTCTACGAAAGGTGGAATGGTGGAAATTTCTCACCTCAATTCTCTTTTAGAAAGGACTCATAAGGGGAAGGGAAAAAAAATATGTGAGCCTCAAGGTTTGAAGCTTTAATGCTGCTTTTTTATTCAGTTTGATAAATTTATTGTGTAGTGAGTACCAGTTTGAGCTCATTCAACAATTAGGATCGTCAGCAAATATATTTTTAGAAGTGGGTTAGGAGTGAGTTTGAAGCTTCTTTGCTCTCTTGGACCACAAATCTGTTTTAAATTTTTGTTTACTGTGGTACTCTGGATCTGAGTGTAAACTCTGTATTTTGGGGTTGACTTTTTAGTCTGTCTGGGATCGACCGGGTTAGATTGATTGGCATTGTGCTGGTTTTCAACACTAAAAAGCATCGATGGGACTTCTCCATAGAAGTCTCGCGATGCTTCCCCTTTTGATATGGTTCTGCTTGTTGTCAAAGCTCAGAGCTCAATCCTTTGGGTCTTCAACAGGCCCTGCAAGGGCTTTAGATGCACTTCTCCAAGATTATGCTTACCAGGCATTTGTTAATCCGAAGACTGGCATTCCATTTAATGGGGATCCGCCGTCAAATTTAACCGGGATTAAGATTTCAGCAATGAGGCTCAGGAGTGGAAGCTTAAGGAGACATGGTGTTCGTACATACAAAGAATTTGGCATTCCTGTGGGTGTGATTGAAGAGCCATACGTGAAGAGGCTTGTTCTGGTCTATCAAAACTTGGGCAATTGGTCCATGATGTATTATCCTTTACCCGGGTACATGTATTTAGCTCCTGTATTGGGTCTCCTTGCTTATGATGCTTCGAATCTATCAGCCAAAAATTTACCTGAATTGAATATCAGTGCTTCTGCTCAACCCATATCAATCAACTTTTCTGATGTGAAATTGGTGCCGGATGGGTCAGTTGCGAAGTGCGTTTGGTTTGACTTAGATGGTTTGGCCAATTTCAGCAATGTAATATCTGGCAATATATGTTCAACCTTTCAACAGGGGCACTTCTCTATTGTGGTTGAGGGTCCAAAAGCGAGTGGCGGAGAAAAGAAGAATAATAATAAGGTCTGGATTATTGTTGGATCGGTGCTTGGTGGTTTGGGGGCGTTTGTTTTGTTGGGATTCCTGGTGTTGTGGGTGCAAAGGTGCAGGCAAAGAAAGAAAATGCAACAAATGGAAAATGCTGCAGAGGTTGGGGAGGCACTCCACATGACCTCGGTGGGGAGCACAAAAGCACCAGCAGCAATGGTGATACGGACGCAACCAACCATTGAGCACGAATATGTACCCTAGTTTCTGCATTTGTACAAGGTCTCCTTTTTCATTCATATTCATGTTCAATTTATGCGTTTAGATATTCTTCTGATCACACCTGTTTTTGTTGGTGTCTTCTTTCTTTGCTTGTTCGTTCTTGCTAGGCTCTTCGTTTAGTGTGGGTACAATAGAGTTTTTGTGTATATAATAATTTGTTACCAGTCACAAACACCTTCCATGCTTCCCCTAGTGTGCATGTAGACTTGTAGGTCGGAGTGATTCTGTATGTGTAAGAATTTTGCTGTCCCATTGACAAGGAATAAATTTTTTTCTCCGGATTGTTGTCGACATTTATGACTGTAGGATGAACTTCGTTTGATAACTTTGTCATTGTGGAACGAGATAATAAAAATAGTTAGGTTAAATTTTGCTGTGTGAATGCACTGAATGGTGTAATGTTAGGCATGTGCAGCGTTATTGGCTTCATCATGTTCACATCTATATACTGGTATGGTACTATTGACAGTGCATAATTTTACAGCCTGTTGCACTACTTTATGCAGTGCCTAACCTTTTTGAATGGTGCCATACACAAGCATTCATTCTGTCTGAACTCTGATGGGTTTTAGGGAAGGAACCAGCTGTTATGTCTAGCTGTGACCCTGTGGATCATAAATCACTTGCTGCTTGTGACAGAAGCCTGCCCTCAAGGCCTGAGCAACCGACCGGCCACACGTAATTTGCCGGCTGCCTACCGGGGCACATTGTGCAGAATGGACTTGGCCTTTTAGCTATTCATATGTGGTTTCTTTCAATTATAGACAATTATTCTTTGAGGCAGATGATGTGAATGCTTCCTTTCCTTCTGCAGAAATTTTTTTTTTTTTTTTTTTGTAAAGTAAAATAACATTAAAACGCGCTCAAAAGGAGAGTGTTCACACAGATTGTCCATTAAAACCCCAGAAATGTCTTGATGCCTAAGATTTGTATGTATCTTCTCTATTTGGTGAGACTGTTGAATGCTTCAAAAAAAAAAAAAATTCCCCATGGTTGAAGTGCTATGCTTATCATTTTTGTAAAGATACGTGATTGTGACTTTTTCATAATTTTATGATTTCTTTTCTCTTCTTTGCTGAGTGCCATGCTTGTCATTCCCCCCACAATGGAAAAAGAAATAGCGACGTGGTGCCAAGATGCTAATAAAAATACAGTAATGAAGTGATTTGAAACATAAAAAAGTGATAACAATAAACAAATAGAGAGAGGAAAAGGAATCTACACAAACCTTTCTACTAAGCCAAATATGTGATTACAATAGGATGGGGAAGAAGAGCATTTTTGGAAATGACGCAATTGCCATCAGTGGGCGTCGGCACATCCGAGTAATGTACATAAAACCATCCCAACCGAGCAAGCAACAACTTTTTGAACCCATGACTTTTGTTTTTGTCTGGTTGTTTTGTGTATGATTTCTTCAGCTACAGTATTTTGTGGTTAGTAAACTCTGCAATAAAATATCCACTTGTCGAATACTGCATTCAATGTTTCTTGTTAGACATGTAGGTAAAGCAATATTCTCTTGCTCTTCGCCTCTGTTTTTAAAAGAAATAAAATGGCATAACTCCCTTTCAAAACACGCACAAACACTATAATATTCACCCACCTTCAAATATATATATATATATATATATATATATATATATATTTTTAGTTAGTACTTACACACATATAGTTCCATTGAGGCTCCAAACTCTTTTTGAATGTCGCTAGAGTGTAAACACTCGCCTCTTGCTCATTTTGAGGGGATTTTTTTATTTCATTTTTTTTTTTTTTTTTAAAAAAAAATTAAGTGGAGAAAAGAGGAATGCTAAAACTATAGCTCAAATTTTTTATTATTATGAATATTTAGCTTCCTTATGCTTGAGAATATGATAAATAAGAGGTTTGAACACACAAATAATTACAGTTGACACACATACCCTTCAGAAATCTTATACAGGTACTACTTTCACATATTGCTATCAAACACATGCTTTCACATTTAGTAGTTCAAAGTTTCATACCCTTTATTAGTTAACAATTTTCAAAACAATGTCAACCGACCTAAAATTCAACGAACTTACTTGAGACATAATAGACAGTAGACGAGTCATTATCAAATTTATTATTTCCAAAAGCTCCAAGTTCCCCACTCACCAGAAAATTTCTCAATAATGCTTAAATTGAATGCCAAAACATTCTCCTTCTATTCCACGTATGATGATTTCACACTACACTTTAAAGACCATCGGTTTAAGTATTCCAAATCACCTCCTATAAGGATCATCATTTGCATCTTATAAAGAGGTAACAGTGACAAAAATCAGAATTAACTAGTGTGAGAAACAAAATCTGAGTCTCAAAGAATCACTCTGCGCACAATAATCCGAATTACTAGATCCCTCCCCAGTCTTCTCCTCTGGACAACCCACCCTAGTTAAGCATCACAATTGTCTGTGCCAAGAATTGTGTGTATAAAGGATTGTAGTATAGTGATATTTTCTTAGCCACATCGAAACTTCAATAAAGTGAGCGTGCGAGATTCTTGTCCGAATAATAATAAACAGGGAAACAGGGGTTTCCGGTTAGTTTGTCAGGTCACGTGGAAGCAGAAAACAATGGGGGGTTCAGAATCACTGCCACCCTTGCACTTGACCGGCACTTGCATCCCTCATTACATAAATTTAACTTCTGCTTTGAAGGGGGTATCAATTGTATCAATAATGACATTCATTGACTGTGTTTGCTGTCAACAAGACACATTAATGTCATGTAACGACCCCCTGCGACATTGATTTTCAAGCCATCATCACCATTTAAAACTCCAAAATTTTCAGTACACGAGGTTCTAGAGAACTGACATCTATAACATTTTATTAGAAAAGAGCTGTGGTAGAATCAACCAAACCAACTCCAAAACAACTGACCATCTCACAGACATCAGATGCATTAAACTAGGACTCATATCGGTCCCATTTAGTACATAGGTCTCAACTACCTGTGGTGATTCACAAGGTAATACGAGTATAATTTAAACAACCCAAATGCTATTAAGATTTTATATGTTAACAACATCAAGATGTAAGCTCGACCCTTAGGAAGTTCAAAAGCTTATCCAGGTTGATACAAGAAAGATGAGAAAAGGAATGCAAAAGGTGACCCAAATCATATCCAGAGAACTTGAAACATCATATGAGCACTTTATTCCTGATGAGTCCAACGGCAAAGCTTCCTGAATTCTGCACAACCACCTTGTAATGTCAGCAAAATAATACATACACACAAACATAGTTATATGTGTGGAAGAGAGAGGAACTTTAAGAATTTCTAAAAGACAAGCTTCTAAAAGGTAGCATATGATGTCCATCGTGTTGTAGCACCATGGATATGTAGGTTTTCTACCTACCAAAAGGAGAAGAAAAATCTGTAATGCACATAATAGATCTTGGGTTGAAAGTTAAACTCTTTAAACTTTAAAGTAAATCATGGCACAATGCAGATATAAAACTCAAAGTTGTGGGGCAGTGAAGTAATTAAAAACAATTTCAAAATTAAATCTAAGAGAAGACGTGTATAACAGAAAAGAATGAAAAAAGAGAATTCATGTGACCGACCGACCCCATTCATATGGGACAAAGGCCCTTATGATGATGATGATTAATCAAACTGAAAACTAAATAAGAAAGACAATGAAGGAATCTAGAGAACTTCTCTAAATAAATGGAGATATGATTTGGATGAAACCCTTGGTAAAGGGACCAAAACTTAAAGTGTCTTTCATAGAATAGAAGAGGAGAAAAAAGAGAAGTTCTAAATAATTTATCCACTCTCTTCTCAACCAAACAAGGTAAAATAGTTTCTCTTCTCCTCTCTTCCCCTCTTCTCTTCTTCACCGTGTTTAAGCCCTACCATACAAGTCTTCCCTTCTCCCAATACTCCCCTTAAAAATATAAAAAAGGGTTTAACCAGAATTCTATCACACCCTCTTGTACCTCATAGAGTCAAATACGGATTGACCATGATTACACGGAGAGCTGCTTGCAGCATATCCTTTGATAACACCACAAGGACATCCACTTTCTTTTTCCCTGTTGTAGAGAATGACCATTACTTATGGAATTACCATTTAATCAGAATCTGAAGAATATCTGATTGTGCAAAGGAATATTAAGTATGGTTTGGTTACCAATAGACCAGTGGCCTAGCACCACTACTTTCCAAAGGGAGGTCAGGGGTTCGAGCCTCAATGAAGGCATGTGTGTGTGGATACCAACTAAGAAATATATATATATATATATATATATATATATATATATATATTAAGTTTGGTTGACTAAAATGCAGAACATAGTGTCAAAAAATGGAAAATATCATTTGACAACAAGATGTTCATATGTTTATCTGAGCAAGAATGCAAGAAATTTCTGTTTGGCCATTTAGGGGAAACTATTTCATGCTGTTAAAAAAACCAAACAGATGCTGAAAAAGTAAAATTCTGCTCCGAAACATAAACAATAAAATGGTGAAAATCTGCTAGTAAATTGCAAAAATCCTCATGAAATATTCTTTTTTTGCAATAACTCCCCAGAACTAAAGCTCGTGCCATGCCAAACAACCCCCTTTTTTTTAACCAGAAAGTTAAAATCCAGGCTTTGGCAGTATACTACACTTAGTGACGAATTGACAATGCAAATTATGAAAATAGCCTTCCTTTACATTAAAGTAAAATGATTAAAAAATTAAAATCTAATTTTGACACCGCAAAAATTTATTCAGTATCCCCTTATTTTATATATAGGTACTAACTACTAAAATACATTTTAGCATACTTTCTTAATTGTTGTGATCCTATTAAATGATTTCAACATCCAAAACAAGACTTCATCCCCTAGAGACTTCCAAGCTTGAATAGAAATATCATCTAGTCCCAAAGTCTTTCCTACTTTTGTCTTCCTTGATGCATTTGTACTGCACATACTTTAATTTTATTGAAATAAAAAAATAAAAACTGTTCCCCCTAATCTCACAATGGTTGTCATATTTTTCTAAGCCTTACTTCCTATTTGATGTTAACATAACTTTGCAAATTAACTTTTCACATTTTCGGGGAGTTTTTAAAACTCTAGCTGTACTGTGCCCGGTGTCTTATCCTTTACATACCGAGACCTAAGTCTAGAAAAGAGGAAGGTTATATTAGGTAGCCAATAGCTAATGCCAAACTGTTAGACCGCCAACAATATACAATGACCATAACAGTGGCTGCATTTGTGAAAATTTTCAACCATTACCACACAAAAAAAAAGCCCAGAACGTACCGATACACTTACTATAGAAACCCATAATCCAATAAATAAATAAATATATATATATATTAATTGATATTAGTGACTAATCATGGGTTCCAACTTACAATATCTGATAATCATGTTCCTGTCGAGTGCTCAACTGGAATAATTATTCTTACTGTTAGATTGATGATATTATGGTTATTGAGAATGATGCACAACAGTACAAGTCATTAATGATCATAAAATGCACTTCATCTATAACATTTTCATATGAAATCCATTTATTAATTAAATAGTTTCTAGGCATCAAAGTTGCTATACCAGATCAGGAGATTCTCTTTCACAGTGAAAGTATATATTTTGATCTTCCAGGGACAAAACTAGTTGACATTGAACAGGTTATAATGTAAAATTTGAGTGAGTAGTTCATTCTTTTTTTATGATTCTGGTACGGAATTTAAATATGTAGATGTTATTCATCCTGATATTACATTTGCAGATGGAGTAGCTAGGCAATTTGTATATAATCTAAGACCACCCTTTGGTCTCTTTAAGTATCTCGAGGGAGTTTCAAGAAACGCCTTAATGTTTAAGCCTTCTAGTCGTCTAACTGTTGTGGATTTTTCTGATGTAAATTGAGCAATATCAGTTTCCATGTATTGTACTTTAGTTGGTGATAAAATAATAGCATAAGAAAGAAAGAAAAAAGGTAATGTAGTAGCAAGATCATTTTGAAATTGACTATAGGGCTGTGGCTAATACAACTTGTGAAGTGATGTCAGTCAATTATTTTTGCATGAGATGGGTTTTACAAAAGATGTGACTATGAGGATGTTTTGTGATAATCAAGCTGTTTTCAACATTGTTCCTAATCCAGTATTTCATGACAGAAACAATCATATAAAGGTTAACTCTAATAAGGCAATAGTAAAAAAATAGCTATGAGTTATGTTTGAGTTTGAAGACTAGTTTAGGTGACTTGTGAGAAAAGGCATTTTTTGGGCTTTGTAACAAGCTGCTCATGCTATAAATCTCTATGCTCCAACTTGAGGTGAGTGCCAAGAGAGTACTTATATTAAGGGTATATTAGTAATTCCATGTTTTTAGTAATAATAAGTCTAACCCAGTAAAAGATTATGCGCTCTCTCTCTCTCTCTCTCTCTCTCTCTCTCTCTCTCTCTCATTGCCTATGAAGTTATAAATTTGTGATATTGATTTCATTACAATAATTATGCAATTGCCTCATTAAAGGTGTAATTCTATCGTCCTCAGCACTTGGATCTTCTTCCCTTCCTTAAGTATTTGTCTGTGTCTTTTCCAAAAAATAGAATTTTTAGTTAGCCAGTAGGCCCAGTACACTTGAGTAGCATAGTATTTTTGCAAGATCTTCAAAATCTAACATATACATCCCAAAGAGTACAACCTACTCGTGATTTCTTGAACATACAAAAATTTGTTCAAACTCAAAAGCTTACGGAATATAGAAAAGTGAAAGGTAAAAACCTGAAGAAATGACATATGAGTGGTATACAATAGTGACTTAAGAATGCAAATCAATAATAAAACAATAGCCGTAGCAGGAGTTACAGAAGATTTGCTGCAAACACAAAAATGAAGCAGCATCTTCAGTAAACAAAATCCTGTAATTAACTAGGATAACAATCTATTTCCCATAGTTTAAACAGGTATGAGAAATACAAATGTATTTTTGATTAGTATAAGCTTATATAAAGCACCAGCATTTAAATCATACCTTTTGACTTAGTTGCGGATAAGGCTAGACTAAAAAGAATTCACAGGAAACAAAGAGCATGGTGGAAATGCAAATGTTCAAGGGATTTTAGATAAATCTAAAAGGATAAATTTGAAGTGAATACATTTGTGAGAAGATGAAAATACACCAAACAGAAATCAAATGAGAGATAATCCCCTAAGATGGATTGGCTATGTACAGTGAAAATCATTAATTGCACAAATGATGAAAAGTGACATGATTCACATTGCAGGTAATGCTAACAGAAATGAAAGATCAAATTAATATGGATTGAGATAGTAGGAAATGACAGCATATGGTTTAACTGAAGTTATGACCTTGGGGAAGAATGATGAAATAAATTTTCAAATAAATGACTCCAAATAGTCAAAACAAGGCTTTGTTGAGTTTAGTTGAATAAGCCATTCTCATTGCAAGCTATTTCATTGTCTGCCTGTTCTGTACTTAATGGTCAAATCCTTATTCAGTGATGTTCCCATAGCATCCTTAATTTGATCTGCTTCCTAATATTTTTGGTTGTATTCGTTTTTCTCATGATCTTACTCCAGGCCTTGACAAGTTCTCATCTCGTTGTGGGTTATTCTCGAACCCAAAAAGATATAGAGGCTGAAATATTCATTTTTGTCACTATTGCATAAGTATAAATGTCACTTTTTCTAGGTAGACCTTTTCATTCTCTACTAGTGTATGGAGTCCTCAGTTGTTCCTTTAGTAGTTGCTTCACTACCACTAGTTTATGATGCCCCATCACTGACAGCTAAACCCACCATAACACCATTCTAATTGTGCATCTCATCAATTTTCTGATTCACCTAGATGTCCTATAGTTCTATATGCAGCATGCTTCCGAAGACCTTTCCATTGCATTTAAGAAAGATAATCACTCTTGTACACATTATTAACTACATAATTTTGTTTTTCTTTTTCTCATTTATCACCATCTCTTTGTTCATTTGTTTTTACCTTGACCTGTGTAATTGTTCATCGGAATAGATTTAAGGCATTATTCTCTCCTACTTCAAAGAAAACAATAGATGGAGATGCTGCATTGCATCACGACAACACTTGGGATCTTACGAGCTTAACTCCAATAACTATTTTGGTAGACCAATTTGAAACTTTTTGCCTGTGGTTCGTTCCATGTATTACTCAGTTGCAGTTGTGAAGGACTAACCTCTTAATCAACAATTAACTTCAAATAAAAAATACTCACAGTGATCTACAGGAGAAGGTTTACATGGAATGATCTTCTGGTGTGTAGAGTAACAATATAAAGGCTTAATACTCATGGTGAAGCATAACCTGATAAAGCATTATGAATCTCTCATCATCATCGTCGCCTCTCTGAAAATTTGGACATATCAGCCAAACAGCTCCACCAACAGTGTGCAAAGGATTAGAATTAGGTCTTATATTTTGAATTGAGCGCATTCCCAAAATGTATTGCCATAGTTAGGTTTGTTACATCCTACTGTCAAATCAAAACCTCACAACACCCACCCATATACACCAGGAATCTCTCACCCAGAACATAAGATTGACAACCCCTCCCAAAACCAAAAATATCAAATAATAGCTCTGCATCACCTTTGCTTCATATCTTCACTTCAAACTACTTTCATCATCTTTATCGATATGATGCAGAACTCAACTTCTCCATTATAAGCCTGTTTATATTGTTAATACCCTCTTTACGACAAAAATAAATTTGCTCACGATATGCACTTTGTTTAGCTTCAATTATTACATTCCTTCTTTCTTTATATAATAATTATATCTTTCTAGGTTAACATCAGTATTACATTGAAAAAATTCAGGACATAACATGTCCCAAAATGACTTTTTGAAATTCATAGAATTGCAACCATTAGTAATTTTTCCTCAAACACAATTGACCAGTTCCGTGCACAATTCTATAGGTTTTTCATATTCCATGTTCCCATTTCATCAGTTAACATCTTAGATATCAGCATTGTATTAACATACAGAGCAAGATCTTAGCCGCAGAGCAGAAACACACATACGATGCATTCCTTCAAGGCCATGTGGTATGAACCTAGCTATTGAAAGATCGCAATGCAAAAAAGTGACAAGATACTGATCAAACGATAACAAATAAACCCAACTAAACTTTCATATTTATTTTTCTGGAAAAGAGGTCATTTTAAGAGTACCCCTTAATTACAGAAAATAATAATAATAATAATAATAATAAAATTAAAGTAATCCCAGAGGCTACGAGATATAGAAGACCTATGCCACCCAGCTCGAAGAACCAACATATTGTCATTGAATTTTGATAATAATTAAGAAAGCCAACAATCTTGTAAATTATAACATCATCAAAGCTGGAAAAATACGACCTAAAATTTATCCTAACTAAGAAAAAAAGAAGACTATAATTCACAAACAAGAAGAAGAAAATTAGTCAAGAGTTACAAAAGTATACCGGAGGGGCTAATTTGGTGAAGCCGCCAATTTTTCCACGAGTGTCTTGTCCCGTCTTTCCATTGCCACATCCCACATATCGTTGCCGATGTGCTTCGGCTATGATTCCAATTAAACAACAAAATAAGAACCCAATTCGTTTTCGGCGACGAAAACACAAAACAACTCGACAACAATTGGATTAGATCTAAAAAGAGAGAAAAAAATTAGTAATTGAAGTGATAAGAAATACCCGGCCATGGGCAGCTTTGTGGATTTGATACTGAGCATTGCCCATGATGCAGAGCATCCCTGCTATGATCCCTAATGGCAGTACTGCTTCCAACCACCGCAACGACATCTCTCTGTATCTCTCTCTATCCCCAACCAGTCTTCTTCTTTCTCAGGTGTTGCCCTCTTCCCTCTTTTACCCTCATTGTCCAATCGGCAATCTTTAAGATATTAAATTACGGTATTATTTTTAAATAAAAATAAACAAAATGTCCCGACCATTTAATAATTTTTTCTAAATACAAAGAATTGTGTGTTTTTAAATTTAATATACTCACACCCAACATTGAATTATTTAATTAAATAATTTTTAACTAATATTTTATACTAAATATAATTAAATAGAGGGTTCAATTTCTTTATTTACTGCACAATTTAAAAGAATAGGTTTAATAATTTACTGTAATTGTTCTATGCAATAATTATTTTTCTTTTAAATTACTTATTATTATATATATATATATATAAGCTTGTTTTTAATAACATCAATTTATTATGCAAGCACTTGAAAAATTTACTGAATTTAAAATTTTGCCCTTAGTGATACTTTATCATTATAAAAAGTTTATTATTTTAAATTTTCACGAGGACATGTGTGTGAGACCGATTTTTTTTTTTTTTTTTTTTTTTTTTTTTTTTTTTTTTCAAAAACAAAAAAATTCAAACTCGCTTGTTAGATCAATAAACCCCAAACTGATCGGATTTCGGTTTCAATCCCATCAATTTTGGGCCTAATTTGACTATAATTGAATTGTAATTGTTACAAAGGGCCTATTCCATGATATATATATATATATATATATATTACTTAATAATTACCAAATAATTGTATACACACGCTACTAATAACGTATATGTTAATACTTGTACCTATTAATGTAATTGCGGACATATAAATATAAATCATAATTATTTAATTATTTGTATCATTGCCATGGATAAAATATAAATAAATTATTATTAATATCTACTCATATAATGCTACAAGTAGGAATTGGACAATTAAACACATTCTTATTACACTGTCTTGGAAAATTTTGACATATAATTTTGGAAAATTCACTAGTGGGAATGCTTGAAACTGTTTTCATCCAGCCCAGCATGTTTTAATTGTCAAAAGGTATTTGTTTACGTAATTATAATGGTATTATATTGAGGCTCCGTTTGTTTGAACATAAAATATATATTTTTATTTTTTGGTGTTTGATTGTCGTATTTACGAAAAAAAAATATTAAAATTTAATAAAAATAAATTATTCATCAATTTTCGACAAGTTATTTTACATGTCCGGCCCTATAGAATCGGGCTTTAACCTTGACGCAGACCTTTGCCAAATACCGACAAAATAAAAATAAAAGAACACTTTAGCTAAAAAAAAATTCAAAAAAAATTATTTTACGTTGAAACAAACTGAGCCTTAATCTTAAATACTATATAACTCCTATTTTTCATTTTTTTATGAGTAAATTCATTTTTTAAGATAGTGAACCAATGTTATGGTAAAAAGTTTGTTAGGCTATGTTTGATGACATGGAATTAAAGTTTTGTAATTAAAATTGATAAAATTGGAGAGTAAATAATTCAGAAAATTAAATTAAAATTTTATTCGTGTACTAATTTTAATGTATAGACGTAACATTTGCAATTATGAAAGGTTATGCATCCGCGCTAAATTCTTTAAATAATTTATTAATCATTTCAAATGAAAGAAAAATGGAAGAATTTTAGTCCTTTCATTCCAAATCCCAGAGGTAAAAATAAGAAGATAAGTGCATTAATAGTGTTTTCCCACTTATTAACAACCTTTTGACTTTCATGTATTTGGTTCCCTAATGACATTTTTTTTTTTTTTTTTTTCTTTTTTCAATCTTTAAGCGACTAATTTGTTATTCTAATGATAATATTTAACTACTCACCATATATTCATGTTATGATCTAATTGCACACATATTGTTTAATTATAAAATTAATATATAAGGAAAATAAAACTTAATTGACCTGACTTTCATTTCTTTATTTTTATTATTATTATTATTTTTAAATTAATAACTAAAAGTAACGTGTTTGTATAACATTGAACAATTTAGATTGCATTAGTGTTCAATATCGGTAGGTAAGTATTATATTTCTTTTAAATACGAGTAATATATTATGGCTTACCTAATTAAACAATGGATGACATGTATACGTAAAGTTTTACGGGTATTTTTTTGTCGCCCTTCCTTTTACAACTCCTTCGCATTTTTACTCATTATTGTGAATCTCCCTGTAATAGATAGAATATAATGAAAAAAGATAATTTACATTCATGTGAATTTATATCATTATGGATATGCCTAGTGGGTTATTACTTATTAGTAGGTCAACCGTCAAACACGGACTCATTAAAGCTTCAGTCCAACCGGCCGCCCTCACATAAAACTTTTTATTTATAATTTTATTTTATTTTTAAATGTCTCTACTTTTTATAAAATTTTTAAGAATGTCTTCATTCAATTTCAAATATTGCCTCACTATATATTATTATTGTTCAAAGTCGCTCCTTTTTATATAATTTTTTTAAATACCTTATCATCTTGAGAGAGGAAGAGAAATTCTAAAGTGGATATTAATGTGTAAGTTATTTAAAAAATAAATTATCTTTTTTTGAAACAATAACAAGATGAGTTAGTTTGCCTTTTTATTTTTTTGTTTTAATTTTTATCCGCACACGCGATTGAGAAATGATACTCCTATAGTGGGACTGTGGGATTAATACATACGGGAAAACGATGAATAAATTAAACTAACGTAACCTTGGCAAATGAATTCACGATTATTCAATTTAGATTTTTTTTTTTTTTTTTTTTTGAACAAAATTAGCCTACGATCTTTTACTTTGTCGTTGAATAGAATCTAGAATCTGATATAAATTTTCCTCCTATTTTCGGATTTTAAGCTTATAATCTTATTTCCCCACAATAGAAATATACGGGTTCCTGTCGTTGAAAGGTATCTAGAATACATATATATAATTCTAAAAAGATTTGGCCTCCTTTCTTCGAATTTCACATCCCTTTTCAGTTTCGACCTCTTTACTGGCGCAATACCTTTACTTTCTCGAATGAAAATATTGCCCCTCTCTCTCCGATTCTCTCTCTTCTGCAACTAAGCAGAACCCTTTACCATTCCATTGATTAAAAGCCATGTCAGGTCTGTATAATCCTAACTTCTCACCTGTAAGAGCTGTTTCTCCACAGATTAGATGTACCCAAGACCTCGATAGGTATACTCTATATCTATATTTCTTGCTTTTTAATATGGGTGTGCTTTTTAGGTCACTTGAAATGGTCCTCTTTTTTTGATCTGTGTATTTTTTTTAATTTTTTGTTGTTGTTCTTTCTTTGCACATTAGAAGTACCCAACAGTACTTGTCAGAGCTGTTGGCAGAGCATCAAAAGCTTGGACCTTTTATGCAAGTTCTTCCGATATGTAGCAGGCTTTTGAATCAAGGTTAGTTTGAACTGAGTTATATCTATTAGTTTTGGATCTAGGTTTTCTGGGTTTTGTGGGTTTTAACTGCATTTATTGGCATGTGACTTTGTTTTCTTGTTTGTCAAAAATACAAAGTTAGATCCATTTGGTAAATTTATACTGTTCCTAATTGTGATCTTTGAAGCAATTCTGCACATGTATTTATTTATTTCTTTTCATTTCCCTTTTTCCCATGGCGAAATCATCCATAGCATTTCTTGTAGTAACCGAAGTACGTTCTTGGTTCTGTGTAATGGGGTTTTCACAAAATTATGTGAGGCCAAGTATACCAAGACCTTTACCTAAATACCAAGTGATCTATCTTCAAACTAGCATAAATAATAACATATAGGCTCGAGAAACAGCTTTGGAAAACGAAAATGTATTTGCTCTGTATACCAGGGAAACAAAATGAGTTTGAATAAGTTTCCATGAGAATGCTGAATGACAATTTTATCTCTTTACCAATTTATTAGAGTGTTATGATATACTCCTAGTTAGTTGTCTCATCAGTGTTGGTGCAAATCTTGGTGACTATTTTGTTCGATTTGTATAATTTGTGACATGGCTAGGGTTTTCAAACTAAATTTTGGCTATATAAATACTTTGTATGCTTATACTTATCCTTAGGGTTGTATGGAAGTTTAACATATTTGTTTCAGAAATGATCTCTAAGTTGGTTGAAATGGAAAATGTTGTTTATTTTAAATCATGACCTTAAAAAATAGAACTCATTGATACTAGAACTTTTCTGCTGCGTGTTTGCAAACTTTTGGCTGATGCATGGGTTTACAAGATGTTTAACACATTCAATTGGTGACAAAAAAGCTGGTGAAAAACCCAGGATAGCTTCATAAAGAAAAATTCATTTGATGTAGTGAAATAAAGTTCACTGTTCTGGATATTTTTCAGTTTAATTAATGTTCTAGCACTCTCTTTGAGAGGAGCCCACTTGTGCTGTGGTAAAATTGAAACGAAAAGAGATGGTGAAACCTTAAGTGGACGGGCTTGATGTCCTTATTAGGCTCCTGTTCTGAATAGTGACTTTAATTTGGGATGTTAAACCTTGTGAACTTCCCATCTATTGATTTCAGCAGTAAAAACGTAGTCTTTCATTGTCTAAACAGGATTGCAAGTAAATTCAGTACAGTTGTATCTTTTTTGTTCTCAGTTGAAATGAGCTTTTAACTAATTTATGTTTCGTCTTGATTATTGCCTCACCTCTTCCTCTGTCTTCTCCTTATTCTTGTTCACCTTGCATGACTCCGTATTTTTCTGGCAATGACTGTGTATTGTTATGAAAATGGTTTCAGCTTATATCATTTTTCTGGTGTTCTTATTTTTGATTTTGGAGAGTGGTTTTTATATTGAAGTTATTCCTTTTCTCTTTTTCTTTTTGTTCAGAGATATTACGACTTTCAGGGATGATGCCCAACCAAGGTTTTGGTGAAATTGATAGACTGCGGCATCGAAGCCCTAGTCCCATGGCTTCTTCAAACCTTATGTCACATGTTGCTGGGACAGGATTAGGTAGCTGGAATGGCTTTCCTCAGGAGGTAAATAGTTTCCTCATTTTATGTTTATCATCAAATTCTGCACCAATCCTTTTTTTTCCCCTTTAAGCTGCAATTGTATACTTTTCTAGTGTTTGTACACTTTGTACGCTTGCAATGCGAGTCATGCCTGCCTAGAGCTTGACATTTACTGTGACAAGGGAATGATCTGGTATTGATGCTAATGATATGAGGTATTCATCATTCATAATCTGCATCAACATCATACATTATAATTGTTGAAATTGATTATTGAAATGATTTTGAAATCAAAGGGTTGATTTCAGTTTCTGATTCCTACCATTGTGGAATCTTTCTGCTGTTATGTCAAGCATCTTGCATAATATACAGCTTTGGATCTGACTTCTTTTTTGGCATTTCACATGGTAGAAATAAGATAAATTATTGAAATTTTCTGCTGGTATGCCATGGATTTCCCTAAATAAAGCTCAATATCAAATTGCTTGTTTCTACCAACAAGAAGCCAGAAGCCTAAAGAAAGCATTTAGAAAGAGAGAAGTGCTCTGTAAAGGTGCTATACATACCGTGACACCATATGATCTTTAACAATAGGTTTCATATAGTGTGCTTGCTATAGAAAGTAAATATACGAGTCACGAGTAAAGAGGAGGTTGGTAACACTCGATAGATTTTAGTATTTGCTGAAATCGTATAGCGAGCTTTCTGACCAAACTACATTACTGGGTTATTGACAAATGTGAACCACGGTTGAACTTAAGCCCGATGTGAACCTTAAAACAGTTTTGCACAAACAATTATCTACTATGAGCCTGTTAAACATGTAATGGGAGGTTATCGGAAAAAAAACATGTAATGGGAGCCTATATTACATGGACTCTTTAATAGTAGGTGAAGTTCCCGTCTCCAACACACATTGCTTGGAAATGGGAATGGGATATGTGCTGTCTGGTCTTTTTGGTTGGACATGCACTCGAAAACCATGTTGAATAATTCAATTGTATCATATTATTGCTTCAAAATTAGTGAAATGCCAATATTGAACACTATGTTACATAAATACATTATTTTACCTAGAAAATAAAATAAGAATCTTAAATAATATAAATATTTGGCAGTGTTCATGCGTCTTTTTGTTTGGGGATTTGACACATCCGCAAATGGCCAGATGTACAGTCTCGGTTGTTCCATCCACTAGAGTGTCAGCTCGGTTAGGAATCCGATTAAGTTGTATGCCCGCGCTCGACACATGTACCAGAGTCCATGTAACATAGATGAGAGCTTGAAGTAGAGCAAAACCAGAAAGTAAGAACTTGTTTGGTTTAGTTTTCTTAAAGCAAATATAAACAATATTTCTATGAAAATAGGCCTTTTTTTCCCCTTTTTAAAACTTGGTTTTCAGAAAACACTCTTTTGAAAACTGTTTAGTTCTTCAATTTCCTATTTTTCAGTTCTCTAAGAATGGGAAACTGTTCTCATAAAACTGAACCCAACAGGCTGTGATTATCCCTGAGTATTCTGTTTTGCTCTATATATATTGTCGGTTTTTTCTTAAAGAGAAAGAAAGAACAACCATAAGTTCAGTAAATTTTTTTTTTTTTTTTTTTTTTTTTTTTTCAATGGCTTTATTTGTCGAAACTATAGGGAAAAAGATTGTTGTCCTACTTAATTACAGGATATTGTTTACTGAAGATGTTACTTCATTTTTGAATTTGCAGAAAATCTTCTGTTAGTCCTGCTACTGCCATTGTTTCTATTGCTGATATGCTTTACGAAACACTATCATTTACCACCCATCCATCCTTTTTTCAGGTTATCGCCTTTCATTTTTTATATAACATAAGCATTTGAGTTGGAACAAAATTATACGTTTAAAAAAGTTATGAATGGGGTGTACTCTTTGTGATACATATGTTAGATTTTGAAGATATTGCAATGTTACCGACTATGTTGCAGTGTAGTTGTAAAATTTTTATTTTATGGAACATGCATGAACAAGTACTTCAGAAAATGGGATTGATCCATGTGCTGAGGGCTATAGAGTTGCACCTTTAGTGAGGCAACTGCATAATTATAATAACAAAATCAAAATCACAAATTTATAATTTCATAGGCAATTAGGGAGAGGTAGGGGTACTAGCAACCATGGTTATCCATAAAGCTACAATTGTTTCCAATTCAAAAATTATGAAGGTACCTAATTATGCCCAATTTGAAAAAAAGCATTTTATGATTCACAGCGGCACTAACTATTCGTAAATTGGAAGGTCCTAATTATGATTTCATAAACACTAATCTTTCCAATTTTTAAAAAGCTCAAACTGTAAAATCTAAAGGTGACAATTATTTGAGTTTGTGAATAATTCTCACTATTTTCAAGTTCTTACCTTTTAATTCTGGAAAGAGTGTAATTTTTCCAACTAAATTGTAAGTTGGTTTAGGATTTCAAAAGTAAATGGTTTGAAACCCCCATAAATTGTGGGAGAAGACAAAAAGAATAAACAGAGGTTGGAGAAATGAGAGGCTCATTACTCAGTGCGTTACTAGATCAAGACCTAACATTTGGCATTAATTGCACACAGTGGTTGCTCTCATTATTTGAACCTATCTTTCGATCTTGATAGCCTGAGCATTTACCAGTGGCGGTCCAGTGCACCAAGCAATTGGCCAAAGGTTGCAGAAATTATATATAAAAATTGCACTGTGGCTCAATGTAGATGGTTAGATTACCTCAAGGCTTACTTAGATGGTTGCAGCCTGTGGGAACTAGTTGGAGATGGTTGTGGGAAGCAGCTGTAGATGCTGTTCCTCTCTCTCTCTCTCTCTCACACACACACACACCCCCCCACCCAAACACACACACACACTCAGAGTAGGAGTCAAATAACTAAATGGTCAAATCCCACTTATCTATTTACCTGAAACTTGTATGTTTTCATTGCTTTGACCTCTTTATCTTTAGAATTTCCTTAGAAAATCCCCTTGTCTTGCCCAACATTGTCCGTGCATGTTGGACTCGTGTTGGTTTCGTGTCAATCGCTCATTTGATTCTGAGAAGATAAAGCATTTGATATGTTTGACACGTCTTACACATGTTGGTGTGTATCCAGTATCATTGACACGTGTCAGGCACTGCTATCATGACCTTTTATGTGTTTATGTGCTTCCTAGTTTCAACCTCTTTTGAACTTTGAGTTGATGCTCAATACACCTTGCAGCTTTAAGATTTTGTAACTGTTATTCAGAATCTAGAAAGATTTCTGTTGCAGGCTAGAGCAGTAGGTATAGACAATTACTACCTCTGTCCCAAAAGAGACATTTATTTTGGGGCAGAGGGAGTAATATGTAACACATTACACATTTCTGGTCCTTCCATTCAAAGTATAGCAAAGTTGTTTCACAAAATATATAATGCGTGTCTACATGTTGAGCAATTGTCGTTTCACCAGATTCTGACATCTTTGTTCAACATAATGGAACTTTTTTATTTATGTTTTTGATTTATCATTTTTTTCTTTTCTTTCTGTTCCCTTTTTTTTGGTGTGCTTCTTTCAAACATTATATATTTTGGGCTTACTAATAGACAAACCTGATGTAGTTTTTTTGTATATTTTGTTGATAAAAGGAAGGGATAACAACCCCAAGGGGCTGTCTCAAGTGGGCAAGTCACTTGGCCCTGGTTCCTCATGAAGCATCAGGTCTAATGTTTGACTCCTCTTGGGTGCAAAATATTCCTTTTTTTGTTGTGTGTGTGTTGGGGGGGTAATTGAGTAAACTATGAAAAAGAAAAGGAAGGGAATAACATGAGGTGTAAAAGCACAGCAAATGTCTGGTCCCACTGATTTGATTTAATATTTTGTTACATTTGTTTAGTTTTTTGAAATTGGTTTGGAAAAAGTCCATTGTTAGTGATAAATTGGTAAACATTTGCTTCAATTTAAAATGACACAAGTGCACTGAAGCCAGCAATGAGATCAGTTGCGGTTTGACGATTTCAAAAAAGGAAAAACAAACAAAGAAGAAGAAAAAAAGAAAAGAAAAAAAAAAAGTTGGGTTTTGGACATGTCTAATCATTATCAAATGCTTCACGCAAAAATCAGATGATTAGAAATCATCTAATCATTCAGGCCGGTTGTTTGTGTAAGCCATCCACTAAACAGGGTTCACTTTTGGTGGATAATTCTAGTTAAAATTAGAGGACTAAAAATCACTTCACCTATCAATTATTAATCAAAGATGTCAGGAATATTTTTCTGTAGAGGACGTGTGTTAACAGAAGAATTGAGCTGACTTTAACACCCCAGTAGGCTGAGTCAAGTTTCAAGGCTTTTGGAAAAATTGACTAATTCTTTTACTCGGATTAGTTGCATACGTATGTTTTTTCTCCTGATGTCTCCAATGTGGGCTGGGAAATAGCTTTTCAGTTTCCTGTATGTTAAATCTGGTGAAGGTCATAGTTTTAATCCAATGAGAATTTGAAATATTTGTTCTAAAAGCAAATATTGGATATACTGCACCTTAGCATGTAGAAGAAAGGGAGAGAAGCGAAACAAAAACAAATCAGTCTTGGCATTCATGACTTCACCAACCCTTTTTGAGTTTGGATAAGTCCAATTAAATTTCTTGGCACTGTTTATCACTTTGCTGGTTTATTATTCCTTCTCTCTCTTGGTATAAATGTACTGGTGCTGTAGATAGATAAACATTTTGATGGTTTTGCTGAAGGCATACGCATTACGAGAAAGGTTGAAAAGATATTAGTGAAATTCTATCCGATCTGATTCCTTATGTATCAAACTAGTAAACTTCCTTCTTTTGGGATTGTTCATGATCTCAAAATGTAATTTGATATTCTTCTACCCTCTGTAAATAGTGCAAATATTGGCAAAATTGCAAGATTTATGCTTGCATGATTATTGGTTTTGAAGAATTTAAGCAACCCATGTGACCTGAACGTGGGATAGTGACACCTGTTGGACAATACTTAATGACAAACCTTGACTCTGCCACATGTTATAAACAACAGAGAATTGGGTGCTATAATTTTATGATCATTATTTGGATTTGCAACAAAATTGTAAGTGGGAAGTAGGGATGCCTTGCAAATTAGTATAATGCGAATAATCTCATCTGTCAGATGAAATTATGAATATCCTTGAAAATTAGAGTTATGACCTGTGATAAGGGTGTTGGTTCTATGACTACCCATTTTCAAGTTCCTGGGTACACATTTCTCTTCTTGCAGTTGTTGGCTGAATAGTTTTTTTTTTTTTTTTTAAGTAATTGTTTATTGAAGTTTCACTTCAGTTGATTTTCTAAATGGTCAATATTGAGTTCACTGGGTGTTCCATCACGTTATTAATTCTAATCATCCATCCCTACTCCTTGGTGTGCCTAACGTCCTCATGCTCCTTTTACTTTTTATCTGATCAATATACTTCCATTTTTCTTTCTTTCTTATTAAGCAAGCTTATTTTAAGCGCCGAGTTTCTTTAATTACATGACAGAGATTAGGTGGACCTCCTGGAATGGCAATGGACTGGCACGGGGCACCAGCAAGTCCTACTTCATATACGCTAAAAAAGATTTTGCGCTTAGAAATTCCCTTAGATAATTATCCAAATGTAAGCTCTTATATATACTTTGATTGATTATAATTGATTAGTTACAATCTTCTTGTTCATTTTATGTGAAGGCTTCTATTATTAGAGAATGGTACTGAGCTATTAACTTCTGTGGGTGTTAGTTCAATTTTGTTGGACGACTACTCGGCCCTAGAGGCAATTCATTAAAACGGGTTGAAGCTACTACAGGATGCCGTGTATACATTCGAGGAAAAGGGTCCATAAAGGACCCAGACAAGGTGATTCATATAGTTTTTTCTCATCTCTTGTGATACCATTGATAGTTTTTCCCTGATAATGCCTTTGTCAAAACCAACAGGAAAATGAAGGACAATATTATGTTGGAAATCCATCACAATTATTTTCGTCTTTATTTCCAATTGAAATTGGCTGTACAATGCAAGCTTAATTATATTTTAATGCTTTCAATCTCAAGGAAGAGAAGCTACGGGGGAGACCAGGCTATGAGCACCTCAATGAACCTCTCCACATATTGATCGAGGGTGATTTACCTGCCAATATTATTGATATAAGGCTGAGACAGGCACAGGAAATTATAGAAGAATTACTCAAACCTGTGGTATTTATCTCCCAACCTAATGCTTCCTGCTTTATCTTTGGACATTCTGTGCAATTTCTCATTTTTTTTTTATAATGTCACATGCTTTGATTGCTTTCTATCTTTTTTATGACTTAATATATGTGAAAAGAATACATAATAGTATCTGTTTAGTAGACTATCTGGTATATATGTAGCAGAGAGGTGGTGGTAACATCGTGGTACATGTGGTTAAGCTACAGCAGACTTGAGATCAGGATCCTCTCCATCATTGCTGATTTTTACTGCTGCATCTAGGGGATAACAATCAATCTTTACTTTAATATGACACTATGGTGTCCACTAGATGCACCAGTGGAAATCAGTGACAGTGGAGAGACAATCCTGGTCTGCAGACTTGACCCTTTCACAAGTCTCTTACTATGGGTTTTCGGAAGCAATTTTTGGAAAATGACTTAAAAACAAAACCTTATGTTTTATCTTGTTATTGGCCTTGAGATCATATTGTAGTCTGTATTTTCGAGTATTTTGGTGTTCGAGGTGGCAAGTCTGAAGAAATATCTTATATTCTTTTCTCATGGATTGTAAAACCGGTTAACTTGATTTAATCCAAATAAAGGAAATGGGTTGATCATTTTGGGAGTTCAAAGATTAGATATTCTAATTAGTTTAGGACACCCTAGTGTTTCTTTTGTTCTCTTTTAACTTTGTACCCTAAAAGAGGATTCTAAAAATGCCAGTAGAAATCATTCAGTGGGATCTGCAGGCTTTATAGATCTCAGTTGAAAACACCATTTGAATCAATTGGTGTGCAAAGTTGGAGAGAAAAAAGAAAAAGAGTTGATCCCACATTCCCACTTTTTATTTCCAAATACGCATCTTATATATGGTAACTACATGCCCCGTGGTCACGGTTGTCTCACTTGTCTCTTATATTTCCCAGTTTTTAGTAAAGTTTTTCTTGTACAGGATGAGTCCCAGGATTTTATAAAGAGGCAGCAATTGCGTGAACTAGCTCTGCTGAATTCAAATTTCAGAGAAGATAGTCCAGGTCCAAGTAGCAGTGCATCACCTTTTAACACTAGTGGAATGAAACGTCCAAAAACAGGCCGCTGAAACCTAATTGCTGTCCAGTTCTTGTTTGAGATTGTCATGCTTGAGTATACCTTCCAATGCATTTCAACTTGGCACAGCTACTGAGAAATGGGAAAAGAAAAAAAATTGACCAGACAGTTTTGTGGGTGAGCTTTCTGTTATCTTTTGTTTTACTTCTGAACGATAGAAAACAAAAGTGAAAGGAGAAAAAAAAAAAAACAAAGGTACAATGAACAGAAAAGTTTTTAATATGGTTGGCTCCAGAGTTTAGGTTTTGGTTGTGTCAGTTCTTGTAAACTTCATTCATTGGATTTATTCTTGTGTTAGTAGTAAGTAGTAGCCTCAAGTAGTGTGAAATATATTGCCATTGATGCGGCATGAGGTGTTGCAAATGAATTGAGATTTCTAGGTTATCTGTATTATATTTTACATTCCATTGAAGATTTGAGATATTAGTCAATTTTGGATTTGATTGAGCATTTGCACCTTTTATTTTATTTTATTTTATTATTTTTTTTTTTTCAGTGAGCAGAAATTGTGAACCATAAAGAATTTTTGACTAGTACTTGTACCCTTTGTCTATTACATTAAACTCCCATTAACTAATTAATTGTTGCAAAGTGATACTATAATGATAAACATGCTCCTTAATATAAATTATTTTTAAAAATGGTTCTCGTCAATATAAGATTAAAATTAATACAAATAACTCTGGAACAATTTTCTTAAATTTTTATTTAAAAAAATAAGAATGGAAAAGAAGACCTAAAATGAAAATATAAACAAAGCTTAAATTTTCTTAAATTTATATTAAGGGGAATTATTGTCATTATAACATCAATTTAATGATTTTAATTTTCTTATATTTCTATTTTTTAACAAACTTAAAAAGGAAAAGATTTTTTTTTTTTAAAATTTATATTTAAAGGCATTTTTATCATTATAGCATCGCTTTGCAACAATGGGATACCTTTCCACTTCAAACAATTAATTCTTATAAACTTGTAAAAGTGCATAAAGGCAATTCATTAGAAAAAAAAATGGTAATTTTTTTCAAAATCTTATTACTTTTCCAGCTCAAACAATTAAATTTTATTAATATCCGTAAGTACATAAAACACAATGTTTACTGTGCATATCCTACTCCTTCTCTAGCAAAAGCACTCTAAAATATCAATTTTGTACAAATAAGTACTACGAACACTTTATATTTTAAATGTACCCAAAAGTTAATACCAATATAAAAAGGTTAATTCATTGCTTAAACAAATAAGTTGAGTCCGTCCCTAGAGACATAGCAGCGTTGGAAGGAATTTGAAATGTAAGTCCTTGAGATCTCGTTTTTGAATCGCACTCTTAATTTAAATAGTACACAGTGTTGTGAAGCCGATATATATCCTAAAAAAAAAATAATAATAATAAAAATAATGGTTTGTCCAAAAGTTCTGACCAATCTAAATACCCTCCATGTCTCCCCCAACAAAGCTAATTTTAATTTCCATGTCAAAAACAGATCATCAATTTTTTTATATTATATTATCATCTCCACCATTTGCTGGTTATATGCAAATAATATAGGTAGAGAAGACAATACACAACACTATTAATATGGAAAACTCCTAAATTAAAGAGTAAATTTATTTTGAAAAAATCAGGAGGCCAAAACTTTAAAATCACAAATTCAAACAGTAAGCAGTCCAACAACCCATCATTATATTTAGTCATATGACTCATATTACACAATTATGAACAATTCTACAAGTCAGTTTTTTACTAGAATTGAGAATTTTTTTTTTTTTTTTTGAAACCACGCATTAAAAAAACTCACTAACTTTTGCTTGTGAATCATGTTGGTTTTCGACTTCATTTAGGACTTTGAAATATCATTTATTGTCTTATAGGAAGACCATTGATAATTTCTGAATTTTTGTTCGGAACCTTAACGAGGTCAGAATGCTCTAAGATTTTATATTTAGTAATTTTTATTGATTAGGTATCGTTTTATATATTTTTTCTTATTTCTATTATTAGTTTTCTTATATTTTTAGTTTCCTTTTAATGTTAGGTTTTTTCTATTATAAATGTACACGTTACAAGAGCAGAATTTAAACCTTTGATTAATAATATTTCAATTACTTTGTAATTTTTATTCAACTCTATGGTTCAGTTCGAGTTTACGTTAATGATGTGTTTCGCAGCCAACCGAACATGCCACTAAACATTGGTGGGCCTCCAGCATATGTAGATTATTTCGATAATTTTTCAGATGATGATGAGTTCAGATTTAGTGATTAAGGTAGACGCAGTAGTCGTAAATTTCAAGTAAAACTTGATTTATTTACTTTCAGTGGAAGTTTCATTATTAAAGATCTCTTGGACTGACTTGAAAAAGTTGAATTATTTTTTGAATATTTTTTTATGTACCTGAAAACAAACAAGTTCCGCATGTGTGCTTCAATTTGGTGAGAACAAATATAGTTTTGTCGAATGAGGTAAGCATCACAGCCTATTCAGTTGTGGTATAAAATTAAACCATTGTTCATAACTAAATTTTTACCACCAAATTATGAGAAGTTAATGTTTCAAAAATTTAGAATTGTCGAAAAGAGTCTATTTGTCAAAAAAAATTACAAAAAAGATAGTGCTGTCAAGAATAATAATAATTTTGTAGTGGCATCTAATATCAGTAGTCTTTTTTGTAAATTTTCTTTGTAGACTTTTTGACTGAAGAACTCTCTTTTCAACAATTTTGATATTTTTGAAACATCAACTCCACATAATTTGGTGGTAAAAAATTAGCCATTAACAATAGTTCAAACTTATACAATGAGGGCTGTGATCCTTGCCTCCTTTCATAAAATTGTATTTGTTCCCACCACATTAAAGCACACCCTTAAAGCTTGAAGGCTTGTTGAAATTTGTTTTCATGTACATAAAAAATATTAAAAAAATTATTCAATTTCTTCCATTGAAAGTAAGTAGATCAAGTTTTACTTGAGATTTACTATGGTTGTGTCTACCTCGATCACTAAATCTGAACTGTTAAAATTTGGAATAATTATCAAAATAATTCGCATAAGCTAAGCCTACATGGATAAATAGGAACATAGCCCATTCGGTTAATTTATGAACTCAAACTGAACCACGATCTTGATTGCCACCAATTTCAAAATCTGTTGCTACGATCCCACCAATTCTTTGTACAACTACTATTGCTCTGTATGCACTTTAATGTAAAGCCACAGTATATTCCTCAAATGTTTTTCCTGCTAGAGTTGGCGAGATTGTAATAATTTTTTATCTATTTTAATGAAAGCTTTCATGGCTTGAAATGATAATATATATATATATATATATATATATATATATATAGGTACTGTATATTAGCGCCGAAAATTAATAGTGGTTTGGTACCACCGGATAAAAATATACAAATAAGGGTAAAGTGAACTTTATATAAAACTAGAATTAGTTACTATGAGCGGTTATCAATATTGAAAAAGGGCATCTTCTTCTTCTTCGCTTCCATTTCCCGCTTTTGTTTTCTCTCTCTGAACTCTTTCGTTTCTCTCTCTAAAAATTCTTTCAGTTTCTTCAACCTAGCTTCCATGTCGAACGTGACGATGATGAGCAAATGGGTCTTTCTGGTACTTATCGTCTCCGTTGTCGTCTCTCTGAGAAACCCCAAAGGTGACACAGAACCCTCTGCTTCACCATCTTCTTCAATCGATTCTTGGATTTCTGTAGATTTTCTTTCTGGTATCGAAGGAGGTGCCCTCAATCTCGAGTACGATTTCTACCGAGAAACGTGCCCTAATGCGGCGAGAATCGTCAGGTCCACCATGAGTCGAATAGTCTTTGAGCACAGGACCGCCCCAGCGCAACTACTGCGTCTCTTGTTCCACGATTGCTTCATTGAGGTTTGATGTTAATTTCATGTCTATCTTCTTATTTTTTTCTCTTTATTTCAATTGGGTTTTACCATTATTGATCCGGACTTTGAGATGGCTTTTTGCCCTTTTTTCAATTGTTCTTTTGTTTTGTGTATAATCATTTTTTTCTTCTTTTGTTTCGTAAATGTGATTCTGTGACATTAATCATCTGGGAATTGAGCTTTTTCTTCTTGGTTTGTATATAATTATTTTTTTGAAACGTGTTCCTGCACCATTAATTATTTGTGCATTAAGTTGTTATTGTTCTTAGGTTTTGAATTCCTTTACAATGATATGAGAATTGAGTTGTTCTTGATTGCGTATATTATTGTGAGTTTTGTTCTTTATTTTTCATCTGGTATTCATTTAATTGTTCTTAATTTTGTGGTTTTTATTTACGTTCTCAGGGCTGTGATGCTTCAGTTCTATTAGATGACAGCAATGGGAATAAGAATCACTCCATTGAGAAGGATGCAATTCCGAACAAAACATTAAAGGGGTTTAATCATATTGATCTGATCAAGGAGGAGCTGGAAGAAGTTTGCCCAGGGGTGGTTTCTTGTGCTGACATTCTTGTTCTTGCTACTAGAGATGGTGTTCTTATGGTTTGCACTACCCTTAATCTTTTCTTTTTTCTTCTTTATTTCCTTTTTATGACCATCTTATTCATTTATGGGATTCTTTAGAGTATATAACCACTTTTGAAATGATGTAAAATTGTACCATTGACATGATGAATCAAATTTGTTATTGAAGGCTTCGAATTTCCTATTCCAGCTTCATTTGTTCTTTAATGAAGTTTTTTGGTTCCTTTACAACCATTCTCCATCTTGTAATGGCTATTATTGTTATAATTGTTCTTTCTAATGTAAAATTGTCCCCTTGACATGATGAATCAGACTTCTAAATATTTTAGCACTGCTGTTTTACTTGATTAATTCTCTGATTTTGATCTTCCCATTTTCTAGCACTTTCTCTATTATTCGGTTGTTATTTATGATTCCTGCTAACTTCCTTTGGTTTTCAGATCATTAATGTGTTTGTTTTTCTTGGAAATTATAGGCGGGTGGTCTATACTATCCCGTGTTGATGGGCAGAAGAGACAGTGACCGGTCATACTTTCAAAGAGCTATGGCTGAAATCCCAAAGCCAGACGGCAATGTCACAGAAACACTTCGCTTGTTTGGGCTCAGAGGATTCAGTGAAAGGGAAACTGTTGCACTTCTAGGTATCCACTAAAATTTACGGTTTTCACATTCTCAAATTTGTATTCTCTTGAGCAAAATGATTCATGGTTGAATTGGTTCTTTTGTTTCCTGAAGGATCTCATAATATAGGCAAAATTGGTTGTGAATTCATACAACCAAGACTAAACAACTTCTTGGAGACTGGACAGCCAGATCCAACCATTGCTGCTGATTTTATTGATGATATGATAACGAACTGTGGAGACGGCAACAGCAGTGCCAGGAATGGGGCTCCTTCGCCCATTGGATCAAGTGCTATGAATGAGTCTAATGTGGGGATGGGTTCCTACCAGGAAATGTTATCTTCTATCTCTTCTGGATCAGGCTTTGACTCTCATTACTATCAGAGTTTGCTGAGAGGGAGAGGGCTTCTATTTGCAGACCAGCAGCTTATGGCAAACGAGAAGACAGCTGAAGCTGTTAGAGACTACGCTGCTGATGTAGCATTATTCAGAATGGATTTTGCCAGGGCCATGGTGAAGTTGTCAAGCCTTGGAGTTCTTACTGAATCTCAAGGACAGGTCCGTCACACCTGCTCCTTGCCTGTAGTTTCTAATAAGCAGAACCTACCAAAGTAAACACCAATTTCTTCTCTTCTTATCAGTTTGAATAGATATACCCCTTTCTCTTGATGTCTGATAGAAAAAAACATTTGACCTGTAAATGCTATTTTCATGGCTATCTTCATCTATACTCATAGTGGTTGCCATTTAGTACCAGCTTGTGGATTATTGACGGGCTTATGTACACTCATATTGGTTGCCATTTAGTGCTAACTTGTGGGTTATTGATGAATGTTTTGCCATTTAGTGCTAACTTGTGGGTTATTGATGGTAATCAAGAGAAGTGGAGAATTACTGATACCTCTCTCTATATCCCTCTCACACACATCACACACATGCAAGCATATCTTTATGTTTTATTGATGGGGCTGCTTTCTTTAACTTGTTTAATGTCAGTATAGTGGATCTGTAACATCTGCATCAACCCTGAAGTCAGGCATCTCTCTGTACGTCCCTTACTTCATTATATATGTGTGTGTGTGTGTGTGTGTGTTGGCCTGTTTGTATGATTTGTGTTATGTCTGCTATATCTTGATTTGTGTTATGTCTGCATGTAGACATATAGTGTCTACATTATTTTGAGTAACAGATTACTTGTTTTTCCTTTGAGTACATGGGTGAGATCTGTAGACTCTAGCTATGAATTATCCCTTTTTAGGCTAAGTATTTGAAATTTTGGGTTTTCATAGTTTTTACCTAAGACTAAGAAGATGGAAATAATTCTTAATGTGAATTGATTACCGATGTTGGTTCTAGTACTAAGATTTTGATTTACATATTTACACATGATACACGCAGGAAAAAAGTGTTGAGTTTAAAATTAATGCAGAAAATGGGGTTTGCTGTTTACGCGATGTTTGGAAGAGTACTTTTGCCAAAACATCACATGCCTCTGTATAATATGCACGACTATATGCATCTCCCCTTTCTTCTTGGCCTTTCCTCCTTTCTTCTTTGTGGCCCCACACACAACGTGCAAATTAGTTGTAATAGCACATTTAGGCAGAATCATATGAAACAATTAATTACAGTCATATTAAGTTTGAGATTATTGTGCATTGCAATTTTACAAGAGACCAAGTAGTTATTGTTTCTAAATATAATGATCATGTGCAATACATGCCATGCTAGAGATAGAATAGTCGGCCTGAACCACTTGGTTGGACTGAGCATAAACGATAAAATTCAATGACTCAAAAAAAAAAAAATACTCCAACATAAACATGTTCTTAAAGCTCTTTCCTACTGTGTCAGAATTTAACATAAAAACCTGTAAGCTTACAAGATTTAGTTGATTGATGATTTATGAACACAAAATAAGATCATTTGGGTGCATAGGGTTTACAAACTTGTAGTCAAACTGAACTTCACACCACATTGCTTCAATCACATTCGAAAATACAACTCAACCTTCATATTGGATTATGAGGTCATAATGATGTTTTGGAAATCGTAGGTAACCACCAGCCAAGATAGTACGAGCTCTCCTCCCCAAAGGGGAATGCGAGTAATTCGAGTCCAACGTGGGACAGTGTGGTGTGTAATTGCGTGCATTGCTTGCCTACAATAAAAAAGACTATTGTTGCCAGGTTTTCTACTACCAAGGAAATAATACATCTCCTTTGTAGTAGTTTTATATAGGTAGCGTAGGTGTGTGGGTCAAAATTATGTCCTTCTGTAATATCCTATTCAGAAGTATGTAATTCAAGAGACAATTTTGTATGAAATCTCAATTCCACATAAAATTTAAAATGTCACACAAAGAAAGTCATCTTCATCCTGTTAGGTCATTATTGTGCTTGGTAAATTTTGTAACAGAAGAGTCAGTTTTTTCTTTATTTATTATTTTTTGAAGTTTGTTACGGTTTGAGGATGATGATGACAAGGAAATATTAAGGCAAAGCGAAGTCACATCAAATGGGAGCGGGAGCGTAAGAGTGACAAAATTAAGTCATAAGCAGTGAAAATTTGAGTGAAAGCGCGCGCAGAGCGTGAGAGTGCTCGAAGCGTGAGAGCGATACTTGTTGAGAAGGATTGTGTGATTTAGAGCCAAAGCCTATATGAATGCCCTTAGGTTTTAAAAATAATACTATACAATAAATATTAGCATCCAATGTACATTCCTATGGTTAAACCAATGATAGTAGGAAATTAAGCTATCAACTTTGACCTGATACATCAATTGAAGAATTTTAATTTCAGTAAGGCGAAGCTGAGAAGAAATAAGGCCATTTGGAAGCCAATAGTCCAACAATAATCCAAGTTAAATGGGCATACCTAAAGAGCAATATGTATTAGCTTTGCATACTAAGTATTCCATTTGAGACCAGAACTTGCCCTTTCAAATACTCATACTCTAGTTTGGTACTGCTTCTTTGATCACAACAACAATAACGTCACCAATATGAGCATATCGGCGATTGCTAGTTCCTATGATTTGAATACACATTAATTCTTGAACCCCGCTGTTATCTGCTACATTCAAATGGGTCTGCGGTTGAATCATATCATTTTTTTTAGGACATGAAAAATAATGCATTAATGAATGCTCTCGATTCTTGACATATGAAATCTAAAAGGTGACAGTTTACGCTCAACTAATTAATATAAAATTTAAAAATAATAATAACAATAATAATTCATTACAGTTTGTGAGGAAAAAAAAAAAAAAATTCCAACATACTTCCAAGAAAAAGAAAAAAAAAATTCCAACCCATCCTTTCATCAATGAAGCATGAAAAAGAAGAGCATTTAAAAATCATCCATTAACAAACCATAAAAATAAAATGGGGATACAATACTTCATGATGGATACAGAGAAAAAAAAAAAAAAAAAATGGCGTTGTTGGTTTTGATCAAAGCACGCATTGTGGAAGATGATGGATGGGTCTAAGACTCCCAAATCTTGAGGGATGCATAGAAGGAACAGAATATATATATATATATATATATATATATATATATATTACAAGTTTACAACCAAACCAAAGAATGAGAGGAACTTAACTTACCTTGATATTGATCGATGTTGGATTAATTTCCAATTAATCAGCGGAAAAAGTGACAAAGTGGAGAGCAGGGAAAGTCATAATTTTATTGATATGATAAAGGAGGAGACGATTTCTTGAATCTTGATCAATAAAATTATGACCTTCGATACTCTTCAATGTGACCACTTTCTTCGATCTTCATCGCTTTCTTTCTCGACTCGACTTAGTTGTTAAATCTTATTTTCGTGTGTATATATATATAGGGAGATTCATATACTCCATATATGAATCAGTAAAAAAAAATCAGTCGAGATCTAGGTTTAACGTAATTGCATGTTTTGATCCCTCCGGCTCCAAATCCATTTATTTAAAGAATAATAAATATTGTACATCAAGCAGGGCTGCAAAGTTGCCTTTTTTGGCTTGCTGTGAGAGGAAGGCTTTACACTTTTGACTCCAAGCCAATGCTCAACCAACATTATGTCAATAGGTGTTATTTGTGTTGCACAGATTGTGAATCCATGGATCATTTGTTTTTTAACTGTCCTTATAGTACACAAGTTTGGAGGTTCATTCAGCACATTGCAGGCTTTTGCATCCTCCCTAATTGTTGGTCGGACCTGGTAAAGTGGTGTTCAAACACTGGAACTCTCAAAACTTTTTGACACACAAACTCCTATTGTCTGCTGCAATCTACTTCCTTTGGCAGGAAAGGAATGCAAGGGTGTTCAGAAATGTTGAAGCATATACCTCCACAACATATAATCTCTCAGATTAAGTCGTGCACCAGAGCAAGACTTGCTTCAATCAACCTAAGAAGGTCCTCAGATCAGAATCTCATTTCCACAGAGCAAGACCTCTATAGCCTTTTTCTGCAGGCCTGTTCTACCTCTCATGCTCAAAGCTGGTTGCTAACATGAGGTATATAATGTATGTTGCTGTCACTTGTCTGTCAAGGGTGGTGTCGCTCATAAGGATGGATATTGAGTTTAAGATGTTGAGTGTCAATGGTGAAATAGGGCATCCACTTTGTATGTTGCTGCTACTGAGCTTTTGTTCGCTGTCCTACGGGTGGGTGTTGCTGGTTGTTTTGTTTCATTGTTTTCGTCCCTGCTATAATTGGGACTTCTTGTACACTTCTCCAATATTTATACACAAGCTTACCTTTTAACCAAAATAAATAAATAAATAAATAGGGTTGCAAATGAACTGAGCCGAGCCTTAGACTGCTCGGGCTCGTGACGAGCTCAAAAAACTGGGCTTGGGCTCATCATGGTGTTAAATAGTTTGGGATCGGCTCGGGCTCGGCTCATTTAAGAAAATAGATTGATTTTATAATCAAAATTTGTTTAAGCTCGTTTTTGAGCTCGCCAACTCGTTTAGTATTAAATTATTGTATATTTATCTTATACTTTCAAAAATTAAAGAATTTCATTAAAAAATAAAAATAAATGTAAATGAGCCCTATAACGAGTCTATAGTTCATGAATATACATGAGGTTACACGAGCTGAGTCCAGAATTGCTCGGGATCAGCTCATTTACTAAACGAGCTTGGAAATCGAGCTCGAGCTCGACTCATTTGTTTAATGAATGAGCCCGATCCGAGCCTTATAACGAATTTACAATTCATGAATATAAACAAGCCTACACGAGTCGAGCCTAACATTGCTCGGGATCGGCTCGTTTACTAAATGAATTTAGAAATTGAGCTCAAGCTCGAACTCGGCTCATTTATTTAACGAATGAGCCTGATCCAAGCCCTTAACGAGTTGAGTTCGAACTGTTCATGAACAATTTAATTCATTTGCAACCATAACTGTGACACCCCCTAATTTCGGAACATGGGTTGATCAAATCCGCGCACAAAATTAAGGGATATCAAAACAATTAAAGTATTTAACAAGCACAGAGTACAAAAAGAAAATAAAAAGAATAAATAACTCGTTGAGGGAAAATCTATTAAATAATAAATCCATTAATAATTCTCCAATGGTTACGACTCAGGAATCCTGTAATTCAAGGACCCCTTAACCAAAATCCACTATCCAGAAATTCATTAATACATACTTAAGTAATAAT